ATTCTTACTGATTTGCAGTTCTTCATACATTTTGGAAATTACCTGTCCATTTTATGTCACAAATAGTTCCCTCTAGCTTTGACTTATCTGTACACCCCCTGAAGTTTCTTTTGATAAATTGAAGCTCTTAAAATTTCATGTGGACAATTTTGTCTATTTTTTCCTTTATCGTATGTGCTTTTGGGGTCTTTAATCAATCCATTCCTAGCCTGAGGCCATTAAGCTCTCTCTGTGTCATCTTCTAAAGGTTCTACAGTTTTACCTCTAACCTCCAGGTCTCCACGCCTCTGGGTCTTGGCTTTTGTGTCTAACGTGGTGACGGGCCCAGCTAAGACCACCCTGATGGGATAGTGACCCAGCGTCACGTGCTGAGTGATCCGTTCCCCTCTGTCTGTGCAGGTCGTGTTGATGGGGCTCCGTCCCTGGGCTTCCTGTCCACCTGGCATCTGTCCCTGTGCCCACAGGGCACTGTCTTCATGCCTGCCGCTGGTGACAGGTCCCGGTAAGGATCTGGCAGGTTAGATGGCCGTCCTTCCTCCAGGATATCTGGGCTCCCTTCTCTGCCTTTTCACCAATGTTTTATAATCAGCTTGTTAAATTCCACCAAAAATGTCATGATTTGAATCATCTCATCCTTAACCATTGCCCTCCATGCATTTTAGATGACCTGAGTTTGTGGACACTTACGTGCTCACGTGTCTCACCCTTGAGACTTTTCACTGCACCTAACAGAAACCAAGCCTCCTGAAGGGACGGATGGACCATCCCTGTGCTCCATTCAGCTGAGGGTCAGGCTTACACAAATCCCCGATCTCCGGTGCAATTAAACCAAGAGAGAAGGAGGAGAAGGGAAGGCCTACCTGGGGTGGCCAAGAGTGATGGCCAGGGAGGAAGGGACGGAGGCCATTTGGAGCCTCATCAAATGTCAAGTGTCCCAAGGGTTTTCACAGCAGGATGCGATTCACACCGTCACTCGTCTCCTCGCACACATGGCCTGGGGAGAGCAGGGGATGAGCGCTGTCCAGAGCCGGCCTCACTGAGTTGGAGCCAAGATAGTCCACAGACGCAGGTGCCTCTGAGGCGGCTCAGGACAGGCCCATGTTGTGGCTTTACATGCACAAAGGAGAGTGACTGCTTTCAGGAAGGGGTGCTTGCTTCACCTGGGACAGCTTGGGAGAAAGTGCTAGGAGCGTGCACATGCGCGCACACACGCACACACACACACACACACTCTTTAATAAGACCAGGGGAGAACTCCCTTTTTCTTTTCCCTTGTTTAAACTCACTCAGGGTAATTTGAGAAACGAACATAACCTGGCAAGCCAAGGCCTTCAGGGAGTAGCAACAGGGAAAGGAATTGAAGCCCAGGAACACAGCGTCCAGCTTGGGCTGCAGGCCTAGAGCTCAATGCAAAACCAGGCTCTCAAGTCCTGCTTGTCAGACGGCAGGTGGAGGCTCACCTCTGGGGGAGGCAGAGTTCTCCTCCCCAGTGGGAGACGGACATAACCAGGCTCATCTCCTGGGGAGGCGTGTGCCTGGTGTGCTGAGCTCTCGGCAATTCCTCCCGGCCAACAGCACATCCTGGACGTTCTAGATCACGCCGTCCTTCATTCCACGAGCATTTGCTGAGCAGCACTGTGTGCTGGACCCTGGAGCAGGACTGGATGCACAGCGACTAAACTCCAAAATCCCTCCCTCAGTGAGCAGGTCCAGGGGCAGGGGGCAGACGCTCCATGAATCATATGACGAAAAGAACTATGGGGGAAATAAAGCTGGCTAAGGAGACTTTGCTCGCAGGAGTGGGAGGATGCTGGGAATATTGTGTGTGAAGGGGAAGGCCTCTCTGACAAGGTAATGTTGAGCTTCCACACCAAGGTAAGGGGTGTGCTCTATGTCTGCCTGCAGAAATCCTTCTGGACTGGGAGAGCAGTGAGGGCAAAGGCCCTGAGGTAGGAGACCATGATAAGTTGGCAGGTGGCCTGCAAGGGTGGCCTGCACTCTGGTGGGGTTCCTCTGTGCCAAGGTGTGCAGAGCCTTAATCCACGTCTGCAAGTATAAAGACAGCAGACAGAACGCTAGCTGAGCAGGGCTCAAAAAGATGCCTTTGGCATTAGATGTGTATTCTTCAATGAAAATGAACTTGACAAACTGCAAAGGGTGTTGAGCATTTTCTGAGCTCTCTGTGCAGCAAGCCGTGGAGTCAGCTTCCCCAGGAGAAGCCCTGACCTGGACTCCACCATGCAGGGCACTTACCAGGGGACAATGCTGAAATCAGAAGTGGCAGGAAGCAGAGGTGGGCAGAGGGAGCTGTGGAGCTGTGACGACTCCCCACCACAGCCGCAGCCGGCCCCCAGCGAGCTGGAGACAGTGTGGTCCTGCCCCTGGGATGGAGCCCCTGCCGTGGGGGCGCAGCTTGCTTCAGCCAAGGCCAAGCCTCCAAGGTACACACAGGAGCCTGCCTGGGCAGGGGGCGGGACCTGGAGTCCAAGAGCAATCTGAGCTGCTCTTCACAGCAGAGGCCACAGCCAGGCCTGGCCAAGTCTGGCGCAGCCTGGGCTCATTTCTTCCTGCAGGCCCTGCGGCAGCTCCTCGGGGCCCCTCTTCCTGGCGAAGTTGAGAAGTGGACCTGGTGGGCAGTGCTGTGGCCAACACCACAGCTGTCCTGGACTTCAAATGAGAGTCCTGCTTTCCCTCCTCCATCCTGTGTCCTCGGTTCCCTCCACCCTCAGCCGGAGCTTGCTGGTCTCCTGCTGGGATGACCAAGATCTTGGACTCAGAGGAGTCCTTGGCCCATTTCGGGTTGAGGTTGCTGCACTTGGTCTGTTCACAGCCAAGAGAAGAAAAGGAGCCCTGTGAGATGCCCGAGCGGATCAGACCCTGGGTCGCCATGTCAAGGTCCCTGAGCTCCCCGTCTGGCTGGTCCTTGGCCCAGGGAGCCCTTGTGCATAGCTCACTGTGACTCCTGTTGTATTCCCTTGGGGTCTTCTCCCTGTGGGGAACAAGACCACCACCTGCAGAGCACAGGATGAGGGGGTGAAAGGAGCCAATGGGAACAGTGGCCGGCAAGGCCCGTCCTCCCGGTCCTCGATTTCTGGACCCCTGTGTTCCTATGAAGGGCTTTGAGCTAAACATCCTGCTTGCGGGAGCAGGGCGCTCCACCCTGTGTCGCGTTTCCGGAAGGCATCTCTGGGCCTTCTCGTGGACTCTCTCCTGTGATCTCAGCGTGGCAGAACTGATGGCACAGAACTTGTGGCTGCAGGCCCTCCATGGTGGGCTCCCTCCTGCACCTTCTGTGCTGTAGAGTGGTGTCTTTTGTTTTGATGCAATGTTATATGGACTTTTATGCTGATGAATAGAACATTCTGGAATCTCCAGGAGAGTGACGCCGAGGAGGCAAAGGCACACCTGGAGCATGTGCCAATTCCTAAAATTAACCACTCTGCTTTTTGGAGCAGAAAGGTCCCAGGTCATCATCTGGCCACAGGTGGTCAGTTGGTGTCCTCCAGGGAGACGGCCACATCAGGGGTCATCTTTGGATGTCTTTCTGGCTGGGCCTTCTGCAATTAGCCATGGCAGGGCGTCCATTTCTGCCTCCGTGGCTCCTGCATTAACATCTGTGCTGGTACAGGATGGCCAGACTGGGACTGGCTGGCGTCAAATGAACATGAGTTTGTGGGAGCAAAAGGAGGTCACCCTTGGGGTCCCTCCGCATGTCTGGGGTGCCCCTCCGCCTTGCCTGCCGCTCCAGGTCTCCTCCCCGCTGCTGCACGGGGAGCACCACGCTCCACCTGCATCTCCCTCTTGGCCCTCGGCTCCCTCAGGATGAAGGGCCTCTGCAGACGAGGAAGCTGTGGCACACACACAGGACGAGTCAGAGTCGGGCTGCGATTGGGGTCCAGGCCAACTCCCAGCATGCACTTAACCAGCACGCGAGTCACGCGTGGCAAGGGAGGCTAGCGGGACCCAGGGCCTCCCCACACTGACGGCGACAGGAAAAGGGGCAAGGCTCTGAGCCCAGCAGGAGGGTCCCGGGGAGGTGAGGTCTGAGGACCTTGTCCTCATGCACATCAAAGAGGTCTGGGGTCCTTCCGTCGGTGGCACCCAGTGGGGACACCAGGAATGGGGCCAGTGAGGGACAGGCAGGGACAAGGAAACTCACCATCTTGAGGAGTCTGCTCCTCCTCCTTCTTTTCCCTCCTACGTCTTCCTCCATCTCTTCTCCAAAGAGTGGGGCATCCCCTGTGCCTCAGGAACTGAGGAAGAGGGTCCACCACGGCCCCTTCATCTTCTGCCACCGCCCTGCCTCCTCAAGGCCCAGCCACACTGGCCCTCTCTCTGCATCCAGGACACAGCACACTTTCCTCCAATAGCTATTTCCCTGGTATTTCCTGCCTGAAAGGCTTCTGCTCAGATGTCACCTCTTCAGAGAAGTCTCTGCATCTGTTAGAAGCCACATTCTGCTCCTTACAGAAGCCCAACTGCCCCCTTGGTAGATGCACAAAAGGTTAATTCACTCACTGAAAGGACATCTAGAAAAGACAGCACAGGTGTGGAAAAGATGCTAATTGAGGTCATTAGGGACCCGGGCTTGCTCTCTCAATGTTTTCTCTATCAATATTTGAAGATTATTTTCATCCTAAATTCATGAAAGGTTGCTGTGGCTCCATCCATCATACATACATTCCAGGCAGATAGAAAATAAGAAGAGTCTAAAAAGCATCCACCCTCTAGCTGTCTGCTTTTCCTCTTAGGGAGCTTTCTAGGAAGTTTGGCTCTTAAATATTACACTTACAACAGTCTCCTCAGCTGCAGGAGAAGCTGGAAACAGGACTCTACTGGGAATATCACTGGAGAGAATAAAACCAGGGTTCTGATACAAGAGTGAATAGTGGATGGTTGGGTAAGCAGCCTGCGATCTCCGCCATGCCCTCTGCCACCCTGCCACCACTGCTCCTCCCCTTGCGGCTTTGTCCTGCTCACCTATGTATTTTTTTTTCCAGTAGGAAACATTACTGTCGGAGGTTGTCACTGTGCTGCCTCCTCTGCCAGGCTGCAAGCTCCCCGAGGCTGAGACTCTCCTGCTTGATCCTGCTGCACCTGTAGACCTATAGACCTCAGAACAGAGTGGTCCTCCTGGGAAAGGAGATGCACGGCCTCACTCACTTCTCTACTTATGTACCCTGCAGTTACGCTTCAGGCTTCTTCTGACCGTCAGACACTATCTTAAACTCTGGGACAGGAGAGTGGAATAAGACGTGGCCTTCCTAGGGACAGTGACATGTGAACCGAGAAAATAAATCTAACAGGAAAAAGCCCGAGCAAGGTCATGCACAGGAGCACTGGGAGCCCAGGAGGTGAACTGTCACCTGCCTGGAGAGGGGTCTTCATAGCTGGGCATGGGGTGTCCACCAGGCTCCTAGCTCGGGCTCCTGCTGTCCGAAAGGGTCAGGAAAATGGCTCAAATGGGGGAAATTGTGGTTCAAACAATGGAGCCTGGAGAGGTCCGTTTGCCTTCTTCCATGGGAATGTCGCCATCCCGCCCGTGACCCTGTGGGCTTCGGGATGCTGAAGGGAGAGTGGAGACTCTCGGGGTTCCTGGAGGAGACGGTGTCTGGGAGGGAGGCGGCAGTGTGACAGAGGCCAGAGAAGGCACTCAGCAAAAGGCTATCTCAAAAGCCACTGTGGGCTTTTAAGTAAATTCTCGATTACAGTTACTCTAATGGGCTTAATAAGTCTGCAATTTGGAGCCAGGATGTTCTGGGTCAGTTGTCCTGGGGCTCAGAGAAAGACTCCCTTTCTTTCTGCCTTTAAGAGCAGTAATAAGAACAGGGCCCCTGCTCCCGTGAATTCTGTCGGTCCTCACTCCGTGGGTTGGGACCTCTTGCCCAACCAGACATGGCCGCCTCCCCTGGAGTCCACTAGTGGGGGCAGCAAATGGGAGCAGCAGAGGACATTCCAGTGGGGGTGAGTGTCCAGGCAGCTGCTGCCGAGCAGATCTGGAGTCAAACCCTGCTTCTGGGCCATGGTAACCAGGAGACCTTGCGCAGGCCAGTCCCCTCTCTGTGCCTAGGTTTCCTCATCTGTAAAATGGGGTGAAAGCCACACCCTCCTCTCAGTGTCGGAGGAATGAATAGTCCCAGTGGATACAAGCCCCTGTTGGCCACAGAGTGGATGTTTTTTCCCATGATGGTCAAACTCTCCCCTTTGGTTTAACTTTGCAGGTGGGGAAGAGGGTGAGCTAGTTGTGCTGCATCCCTTAGTAACAGAATTGCTGACACAGCGAGAGGACAAGATGTGGCCAAAGGAACACCTTGGATTGGAGTCAGAAAGACCTGCCTTGCGTCACCTGTGGGACTGAGGCTCTGAGCCTTGGGGCTCTTCTGCTGCCGGGGGTGACAGTCTTCACAGCAGACATTCTCTCTGCTCAAAGGGTGACTGACTGACTGACGTCATCAGAGGAGGTTGCTTGTGTACCCCCCTCACCTGGCCCTGGTGCCGTTCTCTGTCCCCCTCACCCTGCCTGTTGTACCATGTGACAAACAGACTTCCCTGTCTGTTTACTGTCTGTCTCCTCCAGTTACAATGCCAGCTCTTGGGAGCAGAGGATCTCTGCCTTGCTCACTGCTGCACCTCCATATCCTAGAAGGGCCCTGGCACAGATGGGGTATATAATACGTATTTGTTGAATAGCTGCGGAATGAAACTGTCTTAAATTCTCGGATTATTCGTGAGACTAGAAATAGCCACCTCTGGGGTTATTGAGGGGCTAGTTTACGTCAAATGCAGGAGGATGTCAGTAAATGGCCATGATGATAATGACGGTGATCAGACTGTGTCTGCATACCTTCCCGCCTGGCCCTGCTTCTGAGAGCCGGGGTCAAAGGAAGAGGATTTGGATCATCATTCCTCAGATCTGGCAGCAGATCAGTGTCTCCTGAGGAGCTTAGGAAAAAACATCTGTCCAGGCCTTGCTGTGGTCATTCCGACCCAGATCTCTGGATGGAGCTCAGGAATCTGTGTATTTTAAGTCTGGAGTGGCCAGGGCATTTCCCTTGCTGGAGTTAGAAAGGACACAAGGCCAGAGGGAGTTGTCAGGATGGTTGTGTTCCAAGGAGGATCCTGAGAAGGAATTCCTACCTGCTGAAGGTGACACAGGACATGGAAAACTCACTGTCACCAGGGAGAAAAAGAAAGCAAGAACTACTGACCAGTGAGAGCTTACTGGCTAGGAGGGCCACCTCCGTCAGACAGAATACGTAACCCAGCCACACACAGAGCCGGTCAGGCGTGTTTCTGGGAGTGAAGATGAGGAACACAATGTGCTATTTACGTTTCTGCTTTTAAACCTGACACCCTGGTAGCAGGTAGGAAGTGAGTGTTTGCAAACCCTTTGCATTGCTGAGTGTTTAATCTTTTAATTATTACTCTCGGTGTTTTTACAGTGTCATGGTAATAGGCAAACTCATGGCCTCTTTCTAAAACTTTATTTCATGCATAGAGTGTTTACACAACTGTGAATCCCCCACAGGGCAAAATACTGGGGCCAAAAGTTAAACCCAGAGGGTAAACAAACTGAAATCATTCTGTGTTTACAGTAAAGTAAGTGTATACGAAAGCAAGTGAGCTGATATTTTCTTAGTAATTATCCAGATCTGTGCTGCCCAATATCATTGCCATTAGTCACGTGTGGCTATTTAAATTTAATTAAAATTGAATTAAAAATTTAGTTCCTCAGTCGGCGAGCCACATTTCAAGGGCTCCCTAGCCGCATGGGGCTGGGGACTACAGCCTTGACGACAGAAATACCGAACATTTCCATCATCACAGACGCTTGTATTGAACAGGGCTGGTGGGAATTCTCCAGAAGAGCGTGGTTTAAGCAAACCACGGCTGGCGTATGGAAATCGGCAACCTGTGATCAGAAAAGACACAGAAGGTGTGCTGTTGAGAAATGCGAGTCTCAACACAATCTTCTGTAGCTTTTGAAAACATCTTAGCTATTTAAAAGGGAACTGTCAACTGTGGATACGAGAAAATGGTCTCTGCATCGAGTGGACAATAAAAGTGGCAGGATGTTTGGAGGCTCTACCCAAGAGGGGCTTTGCTTGCACAGGGAGCAGAAGGCCAGCCTTTCACCTCCCCTACCTCCTGAGTGAGGATGGCCCTGCGGAGAGCAGCGTGGGCAGCAGGTGGGTCTAGCTTGGCACCTGCTTGCTCTTCCCGATGAGAGGAAATCATATTGGTTGGTCACCTCTCCTTCCTTATCCAGGACAAGCTGGGGTCCTCAAAGGGATGAGGTGTGCTGCCCACTGTCTTGGAACCTGGCCTATGTCTGAATGAAGTGAGCTTGAGTTGTCTCAGCAATAAAACGTGTCCATCTGTCGGAGAGTCCGAAGCCTGAACAGATGGAGGACAGAGCAAGCCCCACCTTCTTCCTGTCCGCATGGGATCAGTGGTTTACTTAGATGGGTGCCCACGGGCTGTGCCACTCTGTTGTCCTAAGTGCCACTCTGTTCCACAGTTAATGAACTGCCCGTGTCACTAATTCCATGACCAGGGTTTGTGTGGATTTATTCATCTGTAAGTTGTGATGGTCACTATCTATGCAGAAGTTTGTTCCAAAGAGCAAATAAAACGAAACGCAGCTGGGACCAGTGGCCCGGCCTGCCCCAGAGCAGGAGGTCCCCAAGTGCTGCTGCTTCTCTGGACTCACCAGGCTGCCTTGGGAGCCAGGCCTTTCAGACCCTGGGCTCTTTCAGTTTTATTCTATTTTTATTATTGCTGTTAGGTTTGTGGATCAAGTTCAGCCACAAACGCACCTCCCATCTCCCCAAGAGCTCTGATTTACCCATGGGCCCCTTCTGTTCTCCAAAGTATACGGGCTGAAAGGTCAGTTCCGTCACAGAAGGGCCACAGCTGGCTAGGAGTGCCTGGGTACCCTGGGCAAGTCCCTGGGTGAGAATGGAATGCCTGAAGGGGCTTGTTATTTGGGCCTTACCTTCTTCCCTGGGGAGACCTCATCCCCTGCAGGCTGGGCCCTCATGCAGTGGGCGGAGGTGGCGGCAGGGAGAGGTCCGCTCAGCCTGGCCTGTGGCACATGCCCATGACTATGACAGACCAGGGCCTTGCATGACTGGCCGTTTTCACATCATCAGGGCAGGAGGCCATGGTGGGAGTTCCGCTCCGTTACACAGCGGTGGAAGCAGCCCTAGAGGAGGAGGGAATTTCCAGAGGACAGAAAGGCATCACTGGTGCAAGGCAAGGCTGGGACCAGGGCCCAGGGCCTCGGAATCCCGTCGGGCTCTGTTTTGCTTTGTTCTTCCCGTTGCGGCCTCCTTTGCGCTGTCTCTCAGAGCTCTGTGTCCTGGTGGCCTTATCAGACCCCACCCAGAGCGCCTATCCCCACAGCACCCCTGCTCCTCGCTTACCCCTCTCTCCTTGGTGGATTCCGTCTTCACAGCAAGGCTAAAAGAAATGTAATTTGGACAAAATAATTCTCTCTCAAGGCTCAGGGACTAATACTTGCCAGTTCAAGAGGTTTTGAAAGACAGGGTTGGATTACTCTAATCATATCCCATTATGGCAAATTTCAAGCTCTTAATAACGCCAGATCCTGAGGTAAGGGCAGAGAGAGAGGCCCGGCGTGGCTGCTAATTGGCCGGTGATGTCGGGCCAGCCTCTTGGGCTGAGCCTCAGCCCCCTCACCTAAGAAACAAGGTCACTCAACCCTTTACCTTCTACAGGCCCTTCCCCCTCGAGGTTTCTGCTCCTCCAAAATAAAGGGGAAAACTTCCAACTCTGAACGGGAGGTTTGGTTTCTCCATCTCCATATCCTGACCTCTGGGAAAGGATGTCACTGGCGTGGCACGATCAGCCTCCTGGGACATTCTGTGGCCCTTCCCTGTGTGGGTGGCTCTGGACAAAGAGCTAGATATGCCACCTTCCTGGCAAGTCCCTAGGAATCCCTGCCATTCCCTGGATTTCTCCCATTCCCATCTAAACCAGGTCCAAAGGTTCTGACCGCATGATCCTTGGTGCTTCTCTCCATATCCTTCCACCTGGAAACAGCCTGCATGATGCCAGTTCCAGCCGGGGGAGGGGAGGGACTCTAGTGTCTAGTGTTTCTCCAGTTTTTAACAACCACCGAGGGAAGCCGAGGCAAGGAGGTCAGGCTTCAGTGGATGAGCAAACTGTCTGCCGTGGTGACGGACTTCACATCAGGACTTCAATCCTGCATCAGCCCGGGATTATGAGCACACAGTACTCTCCAAACACCCACCGAGCACCTCCCACGGCAGGTGCACATTTGCCAGTTCTTTATAGTTTACAGAGCCTAGGTTGTGCGTTGGTTGAATGAGTCAAGGTTCTGTTGGTGGCAAAAATCAGAAACCATATGGGCTTAGTTGAGAGAGGGGGGAGGGAGGAAGGGGCCACCGACTGAAAGGTTACTAAGGCTCTTTGGGGAAACAGGAAAAGAACATCCAAGACTCATGAGGATAGGAGTGTGTCATCCTGTGGAATCACAACAGTCAGATTCCAGACAGGTAAAATTAATCCATTCTAGGTTTTTCAAACCGAGGGCATTTAATACTGGGAACTGGTTCTGCATGCGACCCAATGGCTGAAGATCCAGACAGTGGGCAACAATGTTGCCCACATTAGCAACAGCAGGATGGGAACCCCCTCCAGGAGGCCTCGGAGGCAGGAGGGAGCTGCTCAGATCAGAAGAGGAGCCCCTGGACTAGGAACTGGGGCACTGGGGTGAGAGGGTTCCTCGTCATCGGGACTGAAGCTCTAGGGAGGGACCAGGCCACTGCTGAAGAAGCCAGCGGAGAGGGGCAGGTGGGGAGTGCCTGGACCTTCCTTCTTTCCCACCTGACTGCTGCAAGCACTTCCTGTTGCTTGAATCTGTGCAAAGGTGGCTGGCAAGGGGCAGGGTGAGCAGCTCCCTGCACCACCCAGGGAGAAGGGGGGCTCAGAGGGACGGCCACCGGGGCACCTCACCAGTCCTGACTCTGGAGCTTTACTCCAGGGCCACTCAGCTCAGCTGCACACAGGCCCTGGCTGGCTTTCTTCAAATTCCTCAGCAAGGCCCGATGGCGGCCCCAGCTTGGTCCATGTGATCCCTCTGGGTGCCCAGCTGTGACTAAGGCACAGAATTAGTAAGGAAATAGGAGCACCCACTTCCAGTATAGGGTCACTTCAGGGGCATCATCTCATTTGATGGCCTGGGAGGGGCCTTTATTTTCAGCTTTGTAGTCAAAGACACTGAAACTCAGCAGCATACGATGATTTCTACATATTATGTGATGGCCCAGAGCTACTTTGAATCACATGGATTTGGGCTCTAATTATGTCTTTTTCTCTCATTGGCTGAATGACCTTGAACAGAGAAGTTGACCTCAGTGTTCTCATCTACATAAAGGACACGGCCATGTGGAGAAGATGCATTGGGATCACACATATGTACACACACACATGACAAAACTAGTATTCAAAACCGCCTACTTCCAACAGCGCTGTGGCTTCTAGTCACATGCCTTGACTCAGTTCAGGGAAGCTTTTAGCCAGGTCACTAGAGCTTCCCCGTCTCATTACATAAGCCTGTTCTAATACAAAAGGTCAGAGTGATCAGCACTGCACAGAGAGGCAGGATTAAGATCTAATCCATGTATCTCAGCATGCAGCCGGGCGGGGGCGGGTGCAATGTGGTTCTTCTGGAAGGAAAACACCTCACTCTTTTTAGGTCTAAAGCTCAAACCCACATACTTACATCAACACATCTAGAGCATAACTTTGAAATCAAATTTATGGGGAGTGGTGCTTAGGGAAAACCTCTGAAAGGCTCCTTAGGTGGAGGTGAAGTGCCCAGGCTCCCTCCGGAAAGCGCGCCTTTGCTGGAGAGACAGTCACCCCCATATGCAGCTCACATCCTCTGACCCAAGGGAAGCTTGAGACACAGGGTGTGGCATGGCCTAGCATCAGGTCGAAGAGACTCAGAATGGCTCCACTGGCCAGGCTTCCGCCCTTTAAGTCTGAAAGCAGGGTCAAGACTTCTGCTCACAGCGTTCTGCCGGTGCCAGGAGCCGAAGCCCTGGTGGCCACTAGTGCTACCTGGCATGTCTCTGCTGCTCCCCTCGTGTGCCTGGGTCACCCTCATTTCCACCGAGGCCGGCGCGTCGTCCTCTTTTCTCATTTTCCCAGCACAGGCTCATCTTTGCCCATCTCTCCTCTGGTCCCTGCCTCCCACCCCACTTCCTGGGATCTGACCTTCTTCCGCAGAGGCTGGCCTTGCTGGCCCATAGCATGCCCTGAGTTCCCAAAACTCCACACATTCTAACACCTGCATGGCTGGGCCTTTGACCTTGGCCTTCCTTCAGGATTGCAAGTAGGTGCTAGAGATGCTCAGCAGACACTGAGGTTCGGCCCCTCCACAGTCTTGCTTTCTGCCTGCCTCAGTTTACCTATGGGCTCTTACCTTCAGTCTTGGCTCTGAACCTCCTTGGATTGGTGTTTTCATCCCTTCGTTGATCACTCAGCCAATCTTTATCAATCACCTCCTGTATTTGTTTCGTAAGGCTGCCATGGCAAGGTACCTCAAACGAGTGGCTTGAAACATCAGGAACGCACTTTCCCACATCTCCAGGCTCAAGGGGTGGATAGAATCCGGCCCTGCTCCCTCTTCCTAGCTGCTGGTGACCTGAGGACGCCTGGTGTTCGCCAGCTTCTAGATGCATCACACGACACAGCTGCTGTCTGCATCCGTGGGCTCCTCATCTGTGGGTCCAACTGTGGATTGAAATGTCTCTACACACTGGGCTTGCCCTGACCACGCACATTCTTTTTTCTTGCCATCGTCTCCTAAGCAATCCAGTATAACAACTATTCCCACAGCCCTGACAGTGTTTGAGGAATCAGAAGTCATGTAGAGGCGGTTTAAAGTTCATGGGAGAAGACGTCTTGGTCATATGAAATATCGTGACATTTTATTTAATTCATGGGAGTTCCTGCCTCAGTCACCCATGGATACGGAGGGGTGGCAGCGCCTGTGCCTGTCTTCATGAGGCTGTTTTCTCTGTATGTCCCTGACTCTTCAGGTGACATTCTCCTCCTTGGGTGTCTGGGTCCACATTTTCTACATTTTATAGAGATATCACTCTTGGTTAATCCACTCTTATCTCATCCTAACTTGATTACATCTGAAAAGTCCCTATTTCCTAATGAGGTCACAGTCACAAAGAGGGGTTGGGATAGTGACATATTGTTTTAGGTGACATGACTTATCAACCTACAGCACCCACTGGCCTGTGTTAGGCAATGCTTCTCGGTCCTTTGTGTGGGCGCACGAGTTCAGGTCTTCCTGATACCCTCAGCCCACATGGGACTGACCACCTGGTCAAGGCTGGGCCTCTGTCTG